GGTTCTCGGGAGGGGTTTCGTGCCAGGGCATTTGGTGCGTTCCCTAGAGGCGTGCAGGGAACAAGCAGGAACAGAGGTGTGAAGAGGAGGGGCTGAGACGCTGAGTGGCCTGCAGGTGGTGGGACTGAGCGCAGAGGATCTTAATGGGACTGTGGCTGTACGTAGCATCTCAGGATCGCAAAGCAGCTCGCAGGGGTGAGTTGGTGGCAGGGGAGGTTGCTGAAATCCCAGCTGGAGAAGGCAGCCGAAGCCCCGCCCCAAGGCCCACCCCTTCCCCCAAGACCATGGCCTTCAACAACCTCCCACTCACCAGCCAAGTCCCGTCCAACCCCAGCTGAGAGCCAAGGGCTGCCACGCGGCGCGTCCCCAGCCTTCCCCCGCGCGACACGTCCCCAGCCTTCCCCCACGCGACGCGTCCCCAGCCTTCCCCCGCGCAGCTCGTCCCCAGCCTTCCCCCGCGCGACACGTCCCCAGCCTTCCCCCACGCGACGCGTCCCCAGCCTTCCCCCGCGCAGCTCGTCCCCAGCCTTCCCCCGCGCGACACGTCCCCAGCCTTCCCCCACGCGACGCGTCCCCAGCCTTCCCCCGCGCAGCTCGTCCCCAGCCTTCCCCCGCGCGACACGTCCCCAGCCTTCCCCCACGCGACGCGTCCCCAGCCTTCCCCCGCGCAGCTCGTCCCCAGCCTTCCCCCATGCGACGTGTCCCCAGCCTTCTCCCATGCGGCGCATCCCCAGCCTTTCCCCACACGGCATGGCAGCAGCTTTCCCCAGCTGTCTTCTTGGGCAGCTGGTCAGCTGGGCAGTTCTGGGAAGGCAGTGCCTTCCCTTGCCTCCATTACCCGCTGTCCCTGGTTGGTGTCGTTAGCCGAGCAGCACAGAGAGGTTATGATCTTGGTTCATGTATGTGTGTGCAGGCTGGAGGTGCACGCAGGTTTAAATCAACTCACCCAAAGTTTGTCACGGTGAGTCAGTGGCTGCCTAAGGAACAAAGCCCTGGTGTCCTGGCTTTCCGTGCCACGTGCTAGCCATCAGACCCCACTGCAGCAGAGGTGGAGCGGGAGCAGGGGTCTAGCAGCAGGCTGGGAGTTACTGTTTCAAGACAAAGGATGACAGGGTTCCTTGTAAACTCCTGTCACTAGTCACTGGCTTCAATTCCTGATGAAAAAGGGCTTGTGTCTGACACTTCTCTCTTCCCTTGAGCTCAGCTTTGCCTCCTACCACCATGGAGGTTCAACGAGCACTCGCTCTTTCCCCTGTCCTGTCCCTTGTGCCCTCCTCTGTGCTCTGTGTATTTTTGTTTTCTTCCTAGGAGCCGGCATGAGTTGCGCTTCCTCCTGCCCCAAAATAGGGTGGAGTCAAAGGGGCTCCCATAGCCCCCTTACCTCCTATACTTATTCTGTGGTTGGACACAATCTGGCCAGAAGGGCTTTGTCTGTCCAGCTTGCACTTGCTCTGCACGCAGAGCGCTGAGAGACAGTCGCATCAAACCTCCCGCCTAGTGAAAGAACCAGGGTGGGTCAGAGGATTGTTACTAGGGCACTAAGGTTTGTCAGCTTTTGGAGGCTGACCCAGGCCAACAGCTCAGTTCCAAACTCTCCTGAACTGTGTAGTGGTGGGGAATTCAAAAGCTGGTTCTGGAGTTGGTAAATGGTACCTGATATACAAGGCTGAGTCTTCCTGAAGCTGAGTTCTTGAGATGTTCAGAATCCAAGTATAATTTTTATATGGTGGGAGCATCTCTCCAGTCTGATGGATCTGGGCCCAGCAGTAGGTTCACATCAAAGCCCAGAGCACATCTTTAATACCTGAAACACCATCTCTATATAAACGCATGGTACATCCACATCTTGTATATTGTGAGCAGATGTTGTCGTCTCATCTCAAAAAAGATATATTGGCATTGGAAAAGGTTCAGAAAAGGGCAACAAAAATGATTAGGGGTTTGGAACAGGTGCCATATGAAGAGAGATTTAAAAGACTGGGAAATTTTCAGCTTAGAAAAGAGGAAACTAAGGGGGGATATGACAGACATTTATAAAATCATGACAGGTATGGAGAAAGTGAATAAGGAAAAGTCATTTACTTGTTCTCATAACATAAGAACTAGGGGTCACCAAATGAAATTAATAGGTAGCAGGTATAAAACAAACAAAAGGAAGTTTTTCTTCACACAGCGCACAGTCAACCTGTGGAACTCCTTGCCAGAGGATGTTGTGAAGGCTAGGACTTTAACAGGGTTCAAAAAAGATCTAGACAAATTCATGGAGGTTAGGTCCATCAATGGCTATTAGCCAGGATGGGTAGGAATGGTGTCCCTAGCCTCTGTTTGTCAGGGGCTGGAAATGGATGACAGGTTCTGCTCACTTCCTCTAAGGCACCTGGCATTGGCCACTGTCGGCAGACAGGATACTGGGCTAGATGGACCTTTGGTCTGACCCAGTACAGCCATTCTTATGTTCACTAGTTCTCCAGTGAAGACTTCCATGGAGTCTGAGAGGCTTATTTAAGGGTGCAAACGTCTAATGTCAATAACCAACCAACCAACTAAACAAAGCAGTTTCTTTTTCTTCAGAGCCCACCGAAGATTAAAAGGACACCGTCCCACTCAGCAGCAGCATGTTTCTGCAGCTCACCTGTAAAGCCACAGGTGTAGCAAACACCAATAATGTGATCAGAATGATCCACTAAAATCTGGAGTTGTCCCCCCAAAAACGTGAGATTGGCTTAAAAAAGACAGGATTTTTTAAAGTAACAATTGTGTGGTCCCTTTTCTTTAGGGGTCACATTTTCAGGCTATTCTCTGCAACCAAGGTGGCGAGAAACTTGTGTTTTTCTTTTCTTTTTTAAGCACGAGCTGGGAGTCCCGCATAATCAGCTGAGTTCAGAAGCTGGAAAGCTGGCTCACCCGAAAGCGCAAGGGTTGGCCATG